CAGTCGATATATCGACGTTGTGTTGTTAAGGGAATTGATGAGGCCCCTAGACACGTAATGTATGCTATAGTACAAAGTAAAATCTTCCTTGGAGAGGAAGTTTTGGAACGTAGTTAAGCTGACTTAAGCTGACTTTTCATACGCAGCTTGCTGCGGTAGCAATTTGTAACTACTGGTTAAAAATTTTATATGAGATGACGCACTTCCGACGTAAAATACATTTTGCCGCGTCTCATTGAAGTTCAACCGAAACAACAAGCAACAAACAGCAAAGAATTCGAAGCTGAAAAAATCTGTAATATTTGCAAAAAATGTCAAAATTGAGTACATTTATAACGAGTACATACAATGAGTACATTTTTATTAAGATTTGAAGTGATGGAGATATTCTAAATTCTAAATAATTATCCGAAATGATTGTTGTTCAAATTGTAACTGCAAGGGCCGGTTGTTCCATCTTTTGATAAATTTTACCTGTTGGGTAAGTAGCAAGATTTCCCAATCACATACGTGGATTACTAGATTTACCTCACAGATAAAATTTAGCAAAAGGTGGAACAATCGGTTCTGACAGTTGCCACATAAGTTTTAAGTTTTCCATATTAATTTTCGAGCAAATAAAAGACACATATTTAAGGTTAAACTTTAATACATATGCTATTGTCGTTATTCCTTTTTATGCGCAGCAAATGCAGCAATTACAAAAAAATGGCATCACTTATTACAAAAAAATGGTGACACTTTTGCTGGCTGCAGCGTGAAAAAGTACCTTAATAATTATAAAAATAAATGTACCTTAATAGTTGTGTGTGGTACTGTGAGAATGCGATCTCATGATGCGGAACATTTGTGATTGGTCATGGCTTCATTCGTCGATTCCGCTAAAATATGTTTTCCTATACATGGAATTTCCGGAATGCGCAATTAGCATTGACCAATCATAAGAGCCTTCCCGTAGATCAGTTTTTCATTAGATTCACCAGAATAGCGTTTGTCATTGGCTTACATTGATTGCGCATCTGCAAGTTTCGCTCCATGGGACATAGGAAACTAAATTTCTGCGGATTGGAAATCACACATACATACAGGGGCATTGCCCCGACTTCATTTTGTGTATCCATTTTGATTTTGATTTATATTTTCGCCTTTCTGTATACTATATATACGACATTCGTGTTCTGACCATATTGACCTCCGTATTTATTTGGAAACTTAATTAATTGCCTTCAGATATATGTTGAGATTCCATTATCACTCCATTCTTATTATTTATCAAATGTTAAACAAAGATGACATAACCTGGAGAACACCTAGGTAGGAATCCGAATATGCCTCAACATGTTAATTAACCATGTGCTTGTAGGAGTAGTTTTCTCCATTTAAACCAGCTTAACGAGTTTAATTTTTATAAGTATACATATGTACACGCACACATGCAGACATCGGTGAAATCCGCAAAAGAAATAAATTTGCGCAACAGAAACCAGCGGAATCACCACCATTCCACCAATTCCGCATTACGCCAATTCCGCACCATGAGACCATACCATGACTCTTTTTTTGGATCGGAACAGTATTGTTGTCCAATAAGAATATTGGGTATGGGAAAAAGTTCGTGGCGATTTTTTATTAAAAGTAAAGTGTTTTTCTTAGAGTATTGAAATCAATTTATTTAAACCAAATATGCTCCATTATTTTCTATAATATTTTGTCATTTTTGGGGCAGAGCTATAATTCCATCGCAATAGAACTTCTGTGGTTTCTGATAAAAAACTGCTTCAAGTGATTTTCACAGGCCTCTTTTGAAGCTAACTTTACACTATTAAGAGAGTTCTGCAGAGACCTAAACAAATAATAGTCTGAGAGTGCTATCAGAGAGGATTATACGGTGGATGCATTAAAACTTCCCAGCCAAGCTCAATTTTTGTCGAGTCATCAAAGATGTGATGGAAGACAACACCTCTTCCATTGATTAATTCTGGTCGCTTCCTCTCAATTGCTTGTAATCTCTGCAATTGTTCACAATAGAGTTCGGAATTAATTGTTTGATTGGACGATAACAGCTCATAGTGAACGATTCCCTTCCAGTCCTATTACACACACAACATCACCTTCTTCCTCGTCAATCCAGGTTTTGCCTTCTCTCCTTTCTTTATCCACAATCTTTTTCTAGTTGGATTGTCGTAGGTGATCCATTTTTCATCAGTTATCATTCTCTTTTAGAAATGCTCAATTTCATTCCGTTTCAGTAGCGTATCACAAATGTTAATTCGGTCCATCATGTTCCTAACTCAACTCGTGAGGAACCCAAACATCGAGCTTCTTTTTGTATCCAGCTTTGTGTAAATGATTTAAAACTATTTTGTGGTCGATGCCTAGTTCCCTGGCAATCTCCACAGTGTTCACATGCTTATCACGCTCGACTTTTACCATGATTTCGGATTTTTCAATGATTGGTCGACCGGAACGAGGTTCATCTTTATATCGATTCTTCATATCGAAATTTCCAGCACGAAAGTGAGCGAACCATTTCCGTGCTGCTGATTTTGATAGAGTATCTTTATCGTAAATAGCGCAAATTTTTTCACAAGCCTGTGCAGCATTCTTGCCTTTATCGTAATGATACTGCAAAATGTAGTGAATTTTTTCCTTATTTATTTCCATTTTCAAAATAAACTTTTGATCCACTTCATCGATTTCAATTTTTTTCGGCTCAAAACAAAGGTTAAAATGTCACTTTTTAAACGCACGTCTAGTGTTGCCGATGCGATTAGTAGTTGCCGACTGCTGAGCATTTAATGCCATCTAGCGGGAAAAACGTCACGAACTTTTTCCCAATATATCTTTAAAATAAAAACATCGGTAAAGCTGTACACTCATTAGATATCGCACGCGACGAACATCGTGCTGATATGCTGGAGGTATTATAGTTCTTGCATACCAGCGCGATACGCAACGCGCAACATTCAGGTTGTTCTCAATGCATCTATGTATTATTTTATCCTTGTTGTTCACCAAATTTTAACGAGGTTAAATGAGGATAAATAATATATGGGTATCGTTACTAGTAAATAGGAGATCATTAGTTGCTTATGTAAAATTTTTTTCAAAAATTGAAAATTTTAATATTTTACATATGTAAATATATATAGAAATATATTGTATATTTATATATATGTATACATATGTAAAATATGTAAAATAAATTAAAATTTTTAACATTTTCAACCCTAAGCGACTAATGCCTGTGTTCATAATCAGACCTTGTACTTAAGGCTTCCTTAAATATAAGGTTTGACTATGAATACAAGTATTAGGTGTAGTAAAAAGAAATCCATTATTTTTCCATTCAATTTCATGCAAAAATAATAGATTTCTTTTTACTACACCTAATATAATGCTCTCCTATTTACTAGTGATTAGTATGTTACTGAAGCTACATTGGACACGCATTGTCTGAAATTGGTCAAGTTTATCTCGTCAACGAGGACCAGGGTCATTAATCACAAAAGACAAAGACAATGTCGTCTGAAACTAGAGCACTAGAAACGTAGCGTATTCGCCTCTACATTTTTATTCCTTTTTGCACTTCTTGTTCTGTCCCCATTCCATCACTGAGCTATGACGGGTTATAGTCATTACAGATTATGATTTGTATTTGCTGCTTGAAATTTTGTAGTTCCTTTTATTTCATTTTTGCTCTCAAAATCAATTGAATGTCGTAATATTAGTGCAGGATTTGAAGAATGTCTAGCGTTCAGGTTATTTTTAGATAAAGTGTCAAATATGTCAATTTGAAGAAAAGAATTGAAATTTCTCATCTGCGAGGAAATGTAGTGATGTTTATTCATAAGTTATGTATTTATTTTACAGCAATACAGCAAGTTGTCGACGAATATTATTCGCAGGATAATATTAGAATTACATATTAGAATCATCAATAAACAAATTTCTGCAGAAAATCAATGAACAATAAAAATCGCAATAAAAAAAATTTTGAAATTTACAAATAGTAAAGTTACTACATTTTAAATATAAATTTCTTTTTATTATTTATTATTACATTAAATGTTTTTTTTAATTGATTAATTATTTTATGTTCTTTGTTGAAATTAAAAAAATATATCTTTTTTTGTAACATTTATTCATTGTAGTTATTCTTTTTTTGCATGAATCTTCCCTTATTATATGCATTTGAATTGCCCAAAATGGCTGAGTTCAGTGTCGCTCTCTCATTGGCCAGCAAAAATGTAGAATACCTGCGCAATAGCACACCTTGTTTGTTCCATCATGCGAATACTTATGTTTATAGTACAGTATAACCAGTAGAGACACTCCGTGTCGCGGTCACGTGAGCATCCGCTATGTTAATGTTTGAAAAATCCAGGATTGAAAAAGGATATAATGCCTCATGCGATAGTCCATTATTTTGCTCTAAAAAACATAATTAAGAATACCGTGTAAACGTAGTCAATGTAAAAATATTATCTTTTTTCACAAAATTACATTTGATTATGTTTAATTAAGTTAATCTAGCATAAACTACTTACTTTTTGTAAATTATAAAAACTTACGATATCTTTGGGATAACGAAAAAAAGTACATTGTAAATTTTTACTATTATTACTGCATTGTTTAATACTGCACATAATATAACTTTTCTTTTTTTTTATCCATTTTTTAGAAATATTTACGGCGCAGCTCTTAAATTGTCTTCTTTTGCCACAGATATCTGCTCACACGAGATCTGTGTAATATGTACATTCTTGTCATTTTGCATTTCATTAGATCCGGCCCAAAACAGAAGCTGCGCAGCCATACCTGCGTGAGCACGCATTTCTTCGCTGAGTGGCTCTATTGGTTATATTGTGTTCATAGTGCTCACTGTGTTCATAGTGCTCACTGAAACCTGGCCCGTCTAACGACACTGGAAAATTAAGCAAAGGAATAATAAGAATAATAGTTGTGTTGATTTTTTTTAAATTTATGTTTAAAATATACTTCGGACAAATATTATAGATCAAGAAATTGTATGAGTTGTTACAATGGCATTGTCAAGGGGTAAGAAGAGTTTTGCAAGATATGTATCGACATGTGATTGCATAACCTCTAATCTATTATAAGGGTACAGCCCGAATAGAAGGAATAAGGAATTAGGAATAAGGAATTAGGAATAAGGAATAATTATTCCAATCTATCAGAAATCGTATTTCAGTGTATCTAATTTCTGAAAGGTTTAAATCGTTACTCCTTATTCCTAATTTCTTATTTCTTCTATTGTGATTGCATCTTAATATTAATTATGTCCTTTTTGCAGTCGTTTTTTAAATGTAATTTATATATTTTACAGAATTATTAAAGCGATTAAATTCAGATGATTATCCTTTAGCAAAGCGATTAAAATTAGCGGAAACTGCATTTTGTAAAGTTGATCTACCACTTATTCGGAAAGAGGACTTTCTTTTGGAGTGGCTATGTAAAACTTGTGTCACGAATCATCATGCTTGGAAAGCTTTGAATAATTGTTTGAAATTTAATCATATCAATATTAGAGCAGATATCAAACAATGTTTAGTTGAAATGCTTGTACAAACATTAAAGACTGATATGAAAAACATGTATGAAGAAGTCCTTGAATGCTGTAGTTTAATTTTTGTTAATAATAGTATACGACAATATTTTATAACCAAGCCAAAAATTGTAGGCTTATTGATAAAAGCTGTGTTAAATAACGTGTTGAAACGTTCTAGCTATGACAATATAATGCAAAAGAAGATTAATCAATTGTTTGAACCATGTAAATTGTCATCTGTAGAAAATAATGCTGTAATAACTATTATCGAAAGTCTGATGCAAATGTATGAACAGCTGGTTACTATAAGAGATGATCTGAGATTAACTTTTATACAGGATATTTTATATCCTATGTGTATTTTAGTTAATCACATATATAGAGATAATACAAATCGACTTAATATAGTAGCATACAAGTGTATTCAACAATTGCTGTTAGGAAAAAATAAATCTATACAAAATAAACAGACTGAAGGAAATCAATCAATGTTTTCAGATTTATTTTGCATATTATCTGAAAATGTAAAGACATTAAATCTTCAGAGTAATCTTTTAACTTACCAGTTTATTTTTAATACCATAATAGATACATATAAATCAAATACTATTTTGTTGGATACGTTTTTCAGAAATCTAATTAACTCTTCGGGAAAATATAAATGGGAAATTTTAGATTCTTTCCTCAAACTACTGAATGATATAACACTCAACTTCGATAATATCATAGATGGAATCACATTAACCGAATATTTTCAGAATTTTATAAATGAGATTTTGATGGATGATGATGTAATATGTATGCATTATAGAGTACTTACACAACTTTCATATATCAATCCACTTTTGATAGAAAAAAATATTTCGAATATTGTAAATAAGATACTTATGAAAGAACAAACTACTGATCATACAAACTTGTTAATTGCAATTTTATATACCAGCACAAAATTAAGACGGGAGCAAAAGTTTATCTCGCAATTATTAATATCATTAAAGCAACATGTTGCAACAAAAAAGATATATAAAGCAAATACATCTGCTTTTTTCCCAAGTGAATTTAAAATCCAATTAATGAAAACGATTAGTAATTTTTCGAATTCACAAACTATTGCAACTCTAAAAACATTAATATATTATTTAAATACAGATTGTGCAGAATTATTGCAGTCTAATACTTCATGTAAGTATTTTATTATTGATTGCTTATTAATTCATAATAGAAAATTATGAAGTAATACAATATTAAAAAATATAAATTAATTTCTCTTTTTAAATATTGCAGGTAAGAATATATTGATATTAAAGATAACAGTAGAATTACTTATTATACTTTTTGAAGGTATGCAGGTTTTTGAATATACCAGAATATTACCCATTCATGAGAAATTTATCAATTGCCTAGATGAAGTAGGGAATGCATTATCGCTGTTGATAAATAAGTCATTGTGTTTAAGTCATAATAAAACTGTTATCATAATATTATTAAGTGCAGTGCAATCATTGAATGAAATACAGAATATGTTTACATATTATATATTAAAAGATGCTGTGCCAAAGAAACTACTGTTTCCAATTCTGAATGATCCTTGGCAACAATTAATTCAAAGGATTACCAATTTTGGAGAAGATAATTGCAAGACTATCATGGTATTATTGGAAATATTATTTATTTGAAAATATTTTTGATATATTATGTTAAATGTTGGAAATAAAATATTTTTTATACTCTTGCAAGAAACTCACACATAATATTTCTATATTGAAATTTCAGAATAAACTTATTTTACATCGACTAAAGCTAAGTATATCAAATAAACCTATTAAACTTCACAATTTAATAGGTGGTCTTGAGTATTCTTGGAGTATTATTTTGAAACATGACACGGATATGTTTTCCTTATTACATGACAAAGAAATATCAAAAATAACTTATTTATTGTTGACTGATATAAAATCAAATGAACAGAATTTTCAATGGTTTGATTTATTAGATAAAGAATGTCTTCAAGAAAATAAACACTTTGTAATGTGTCTCTTAAGCCATATTCTTGTTCAAATTGGACAAAGCTTTTCATTAACTATTACCGAACATATTAACGTTGTAAGTAATAATTTAATGCTAAGGAATTTTTCAATTCTTTAATAATTGTAAAATAATCTCTTGTGAATTTTATGTTCTAATTATTTTTTTTTATTTCAGAAACTGCTAATGGAGAATGGATGTAACTATAAATTATTAGAAGTTTTACAAATGCTAAAAAAACAGATATCACAGGAACAATGGATGCAAATAGCAAATACAATTTCTTTTGAAACTGAATTATATTTAGAAATATTTCTTCATTTACCAACGATATATTTCAGCCCTAATATAAGAACATTAATATTTTTGGTTGTGTATTTTATTAGTAAAAAATATGAAAAAAATGACAAGGTATTGGCATTATGCAATATAATATTTTCAGGTAATTTAATTTTATTTCTTCGGAACATTTGTATGATATTTGAATTTAATTTTTTAATTACTATTTATACTCAAAAATGCTAATAAAAATATGCAATAAAAAATTTCTAGATTTACTAGAAAAGACCGGAATCGACCTATTTCAGTATATAGAACCAAAATTATTAATAAACCAATTACCACAAAACAAAACATTTTCGAAAGCTTATGAGCTCTCTTTTCGGAATGTAAGAACATATAGTACTTTAAAGAAACTCATAAAAAGTTGTATTCAATGCAAGGAAGCAATGTGCATTATTTTGGAATGTATGGAAGTTGTTAAACCAAAATTGGATGTCGAACAAAAAATTATTTTTAAAAAGGCAGAAAAAAAATTAGCCAAAACTATTTTAAAATTATTACCTGAACATATAAATGATGCTTTTGATGTAAAATGTTTAACAGCGGTGTTAAAAGTAACTTTTCAAACTAGAAAAGTTACTGACACTTTAAAAAGATTAACTGAAGCAACTCTCAAAAATATATTCACGGCAAGTAATATATGAAAGGAATTATATTTTTTTAAATGTGATATTTTTGCAATTTACATGTTGCATTTAGGAGAATATTAAAAAATAAATTTCTTTTGCAGACAAATTTAAACAATATAAATAATAAATTATTGCAACAAAGTGTGCAATTGTCTGTCATTGTTTTACAGCATCGAAAAATGTTTGAAATCCAAGATATGATCATCAACTTATGGTTTATAATGTTGAAGCATCCTTGTAAGAATTTGATCGAACTCTTATTAACTTCTACTGAATTAAAAGAATTTTACGAATTCTTAAGATTATTGCATGATCAAACGGTAATATTTTGATTAATATATTTGTGTATTTCTTATTAATATATTCTTATTAATAAACATAGTAATTAAATTTATGCATATTTACAACTTATTCCTTGTTTACAGATCAATAGCTTGTTACAAAAAGATGAAGCAGTATGGACAAATATGTTTGTCATTTGGAACAATATAATTAAAATAGATATGAATGTTAAACGTAATAAAGTGCGTTTAAGTGTGATCAACAATCTGTTGGAAACTGTATTAACATTGGATATGCCACATAGATATTGGTCAGGACTATTGAATTTGTCTCGTGATATAATCAGTACGAAACATTTACTTATTCCTGACATTACGATCGATCTTATTATACTGATTAGTTTAAAGTCATTCGATGAAGCGAATATATCATCGTGCGAAGATGTACTTGCTATATGCAGAGCATTGATCAAAGTCAAAACAGATTTGATAACAGACAGATTATCTAATTTATTATTATTATACAGACGCACAATAAATATCGTTGTTCATGCATCGAGAAATGTAGCCGATAAATTCGACGAGCATCGATTTAGATGTTATGCGCTCGATATCACAAAGTAAATTCAATTAATTAAAAAATGTTCAACATTATATATTTATACCGATATGATCAATATTTTAAAATTTATTTATGGAAAAAATTGATTTGATAAGAAAATAATAGATTTTCTTTCAGATTGACAAACTCGTTCGTAAAATTGAAGAAAGCTATGGTCCGATTAAGTCCTTATGTTATCGCTGATCTCTTGCAATTAATTGTGGAAGACGCTATACCATCTTATGTTAAGGTAATATCTTTACAAGTCCGACAAACTGAATCAGCGTGCATTTTATAAAACTGTAAATCTACATATAAATATTAGTATTATTAAGTAAGTTCTGCTTTGGCCAAAAGTATAATATTTTTCCTTATTTAATATCTTCTAATCATTATCTTAATAGATCGTTTTCAATTACGTTTATCATTTCTGTTGCAGATAGCTTTGCACGAATCTTTGTGTCAATTAATTAGCATCTGTGATCAGCATGGACTCGCTTTTTTATCTCGTACATTACCAACATCGTTACAAGAAATTTTCAAAGTACAGTTAAATACATTCAAAAAGTTTTATAAATATTCTGGTAAGATTTAAGTATCTCTTTTAATTGAGTTTAAGAAATCTATAATTTCTTTAAAGAAAAAATTAAGAGGATGCAAAAAGAAA